TTTCCTCACTCCCCAAAGTGTCACCCCCCCCCCTTTCCTCCCTGCCCCCTCCCACCCCCTCTCCCGCCCCGCAGGACTTTGTCATCTACGTGATGACCCGACCCCAACACGTCTTCGGCCGCCCCGAACGCCGGGGGGTCCCAGAAAAAACGGGGGGCTGCCTCGTCGACACCTTCCTCAACGCCCCCGACATCCTGCCACGCCACTGCCTGGTGCGGGCGGCCGAGGCGGGGGCCGATACTGCCGCCTCCCCCCCCACCGCCACCGTCCGGCCTTTTCGGGGGGCCCCTGTCACCCACAACGGAGCCCCCCTCTTGCGCCAAGCCCCCCTCAACCCCGGCGACCTGCTGGGGCTGGGCCAGCACTTCCTTTTCCTCTATAAGGACCCCCGGGGCGCGGCGGAGGGGTCTCCCACCCCGCGCCCCCCCTGGCTACCCCACGCCTGGCCCTCTCCCGGCTTGGTGGGGGCCCTGGGGTGCCCGGGGTGCGGGCGCTCCCCCCAGGAGCGGCAGGAGGCCCTGCGGAGCTGCCTGGAGAGCCCCCAGCCGGAGCTGCGGTACCGACCCCAGGAGGAGGAGGTTCTGCTGCGGGAGATCGTCCGGCTGCCGGAGGGATGCGGGACGGGAGCCGGAATGGGGGCGTTGGCCCCCGCTTTCCTTTTGGGATTGTGTTTGGAACACGCCGCCCGTGCCTTCCCGCCTGAGCGCTTCCCTGCGCTGCTCTCCCGCGTGGCTCTGCTCGTTAAGGAGACCGTTTGGGTAACGAGGGCGAGGACGTGGACGTTCGGGGGGGGGGGTTGCGGAGGGACGTGGGAGGATGCTGACGGGGGTTTCTGCCGGCAGGAGAAGATCAAGGAGATCGGAGATCGGCAGCCAGAGAAGTGAGTGACCCCCCCGCCCCAAACCCCAGGGTGGGGGGACCTGTCTGCCCCCCCGCCCCCCAGAACTGGACCCCCAAAGCTGGCTCTGATAAGGGGGACTCCACGGCCAGCCCCAGGGAGGATTGCCCTGATGGGGGGCACAGACCCTGCAGGCGTTGGGGGTCCCGTGGGGTGACACCCCCCCTCCCTTTCCCCCCTCCCCGCAGCCAGCAGGATGCGGCCCCCGCGTCGCTGAGCATGGAGGCGGTGGTAGCCGACCTGCGGCCCCTGATGCTCTGGCTGGCCAACGCCATGGAGCTGCTCAACCTGGCCCAGGGCCGCGTGCTGGAGCTGGAGAAGGAGCTGGAGCTGGAGGGTGAGCCCTCAGCCCCGCCCGGGGGTGGGCAGGGGGGTGCCCCCCCCCTCGCTTTGAGGGATGACAGCCCCCCCTGTCCCCCTCCAGGCCCCTGCCAGGAGCTGACCGGCGACCTGGAGACCTGCGACGAGGCCATGGGCGTCCTGGACGAGGTGATCATGTCCACCTTCCAGCAGTCCGTCTACTACCTGACCAAGGTGAGCCCCCAAACCCCCCCCAAAACCCCTCTGTCACCCCCCCAACACCCCCCATCTCACTT